CTCACCACTGGTCCTGAAGGGATCATCTGTCCTGGATTCCCTGTGTTTCCAGTTCCTATCTGTACCAGTGTACATCCTCTGGTCTAGCCGGATTTGTAAGGTAGAATTGGGATGATGATAGTGGGGTGGTGGTGGTGGAAGTATTAGGAACTAAAGGAAAGTTGTATGTTTCATCGTTGCTACACTGCACCCTGACTGGCTTGTCTTCTCCCCGTGACCTTTCTGTAAGGCGATGTCCAGTTGCCTACAGATGGGACTTTGGGTCCCCAATATGCACTCCCCCTCATTCACAATTATTTGAGTTTTTGTTCTCTGATGCCTGATACCTGATCCCTTTGACACTCCATGATCACACAGGCTGGTGTGCTTTTTCCATGTGGACTTTGTTGCTTCTGAGCTAGATGACTGCTTGTTTACCTTCAAGCCTTTAAGACCCCAGACACTCTATCTTTTGATAGCCGGGCACCATCAACTTTCTTCACCACATTTGCTTATGCACCCACTTCATCGTTAGCAATCGTCTCGGGAAAGTGAGCATCATGAAATGCCAGTTTAATAGAACAAAGTGTTCTTGCATTGAGGGAGTACTAGAATGGAGACCCAATGTCCATCTGCTACCTTACTACACCTATAAATATCTGCACATAGATCTATTTCCCCATCCTCATATATAAACATGTTTACATATGTATATGCCTGTATTTAGGCCTCTATAAATGCCCTTTGCCTCCTAGGTCTTTCCTCTTGTCCCACTATCATGCTCAGCCTTCATTTGGGGTTCAGTAATTCCTCTTGGTTACATTGCCCTTGATTAATCCCTACCAGGCCTCTTACATCCTCATTGCCACTGATTTTGGATCACTTGTTGTTCCGTTGTCGCTGGGTTGGTTAACACCATTTCCTTTCCCTCACCTCCCCCTCTCCCATGTCCTCTCGGAACCATCAGTTCCGTTGTTTTCTCCTCCAGATTGCTTATCCTGCCTATCTTATCTAGATAGACTGCTTTGTTTTGTTTTTGTGCTTACTATTGTTTTAGCATGTCTATCTGGATAAGATAGATGGGATAAACAATCTGGAGGAGAAAAAAAAAAAAAGGGGACCAGTGGGAGGTAGGGGAAAGGCAGAGGGGGTGCAAACAAACCCAGGGACAAGGGAACAACAAGTGATCTAAAACTGATGGCGAGGAAGGCATAGGATGCCTGCTTGGGTGTGATCATGTGCAATGTAGCCGAGAGGAATTACTGAAACCCTAATAAAAGTTGAATATGATAGTGGGACAAGAGGAACGTAAAAGGAAATAGAAGAAAGAACTAGGAGCTAAAGGACATTTATAGAGGTCTAAATATAGGCATGTACATGAATAAATATATTTATATGTAATGATAGGAAAATAGATCTATGTACATATATTTATATGTTAAGTATTAAGGTAGCAGATGGACATTGGGCTTATACTCTAGTACTCCCTCAACACAAGAACACTTTGTTCTGATAGCCCGGCATTCTGTGATGCTCACCTTCCTGACACAATCGCTGAAGACAAAATGGGTGCATAAGCAAATGTGGTGAAGAAAGCTGATGGTTCCCTGCTATCAAAAGATAAAGCATCTGGGGTCTTAAAGGCTTGAAGATAAACAAGTGGTCGTCTAGCTGAGAAGCAACTGGAAGCCCACATGGAAGAAGCACACCAGCCTGTGTGATCCTGGGGTGTTGATGGGATCAGGTATCAGGCATCGAAGACCCAGAACAAAGATTATTATCAATGTGAATGAGGGGGAGGGCAGAGTGGAGACCCAAAGCCCATCTGTAGGCAATTGGACATCCCCTTACAGAAGGGTCACAAGGAAGAGATGAGCCAGTCAGGGTGTGGTATAGCACTGATGAAACATACAACTTTCCTCTAGTTCTTGAATGCTTCCTCCCATCCTCCCCCCTCCACCATCATGACCCCAGTTTTATCTTACAAATCTGGCTAGACTGGAGCATGTACACTGGTACAGATAAGAGCTTGAAACAGGGAATCCAGGACAGATAAACCCCTCAGGACCAATAATGAGAGTAAGCAATACCAGGAGGGGAAGGGGAAGGTAGGGGCAGAAAGGTGGAACTGATCACAATGATCTACATATAACCCCCTCCCAGGGGGATAAACAACAGAAAAGTGAGTGAAGGGAGACAGTGGTTGGTGTAAGATATGAAAAAGTAATACTTTATAAAGTATCAAGGGTTCATGAGGGAGGGAGGGTGGGGGAATGAGGTGCTACCAAAGGTTCAAGTAGAAAATGTTTTGAAAATGATGATGGCAACATATGTACAAATGTGCTTGACACAGTGGATGGATGTGTGGATTGTGATAAGAGCTGTAAGAGCCCACCTTAAAATGGTTATAAACCCAAAAACCATGATGCCCTCTCTCACGGAATTCACATGTTACGAAAGGACTTCTAGTTCCCGGGAAGCTGTCAGGGAGTGGCACTGGCACAGTTAGCATTACAGAAAGCCTGGGAAATGTTGTCAGAGTTGCGGGAGAAAGGTGTTCAGCCTCGTGTTGCTCTCTGGGGACACCAGTACACACCGTCTCCCATAGAGTGAAGGCGTGACTGTCCAAACCTGCAGCCCTTCTTTGCTTCGATGCCCACATTTTGCTGAGATGCCCCGGTGTGTTTTGTAGCCAATTCGAATCACTGTTGAAATTGCTTCCTAGGAACTAGCCAGCTGTGGATGGAGTAAGAAGGAGAAACATAGTCTTGCCCCCAACGTTGTGGCCTTTACCCGGAGGTTTAACCAGGTAAGCAACACCTCTTGCATGTGCCTATCCAGACAGCAGTTGTTCCTTGTAGGCTGGTGTCCCACCGGAATTCCATCTCATGCATCTCGCCTGAGGTCAGCATCCCTCTCGCTGAGCCACAGGCCTGTGTCCACCCTTGTACCATCACAGTCTGTGGCACAGAGCAGGTGGAACTGAACAAGCCTCTTGTGTTTAAATTACTTTAAAAAGCAATGCCATTCTGACTCATAACAATCCTATGTAGGATTTTTTACACTGGAAAAAAAAATTTTTGCCCCAATTCAACAACTTCTTACTGAATGTGTAACTCAGTGCCACTGGTTATACTCTTCATGTTGTGCAACCAGCATTGATAACCTTTTCCAAGTCAGTTCACCAGCACTAAGTCAGTTCACCAGCACTAAGTCAGTCACCAGCACTGACATAAAGTCAGTGCTCCCTACACAGCACTCCACCTTCACTCTCGGTTACCTGGGCCAACTTTGCTTTCTTTTTAGTAGTTTTCTTGACTTAAAATTCGCCTATCAGACATTTCCATAGTTAAGACCCTTTTAAAAGAGTTGTATATCCATCATCCCAATCTGTTCTAGGCACTCCCTCCCACCTCCCGCATTCACTGTCTGCTCCCCAATCCCCTCACCTCCCCACTCCCAACCTCCACATGTTCCTGATAATCCATTGCATCAGTTATTGTCTCTATGCATCCACTCCTTCTGTGCTTTATAAGCTGAGAAGCTAACAAAAAGAATAAAAAACAAAACACAGAGAAGAAAATAACAGTAATAGTAATAATGTTTTAATATTTAATATATTGTAAATTAAATTATTATTATTTAATAAATTAAGGAGTAAGAAAGAAAAGTCCACCAACAGTATTTTAAAAAGCCAGAGAAGAAGTTTCTGTCATGGAACAAGCGAGAAATATTTGAGCCTAGAGAAAATTCAGGTTGGGTCAAGAGGTAGGTCAACTGACCAAGTATCCTATTACACCATGGTTTGATCCACCATAGTCAAGTTTAGAATAATCTCTGTCTGATAGTAAAGCTTTTCAAGTCCCCGGCTGTGGCTAGAGCAGGTCCGCCAGAGGCTGATCTGATGGGATACTTTGCAGATTGGTTTGGGGATCCCACTGCCCTCCATAGCCTTCTGCTAATTGGGTGTTCACAGTTTGAGCTCTGATACTTTTTCCTTCATCCTATGTGGATTTTGTTATCATCATCTTTGGATCACCCCGGCTGGTGTGCTTCTTCGATGTGGACTTAGTTGACTCCTTGCTTAGATGGCTGTTTGTTTGAGACCCCAGGCACTACTTACTCTGGAAATCTTTTGTTGTTGTTGTTTTATTTATTCTTTTAATTGTTTTATTAGGGGCTCATACAACTCTTATCGCAATCCATACATACATCAATTGTGTAAAGTACATTGTACATTCATTGCCTTCATCATTCTCAAGATATTTGCTCTCCACTTAAGCCCTTGGCATCAGGTCCTCATTTTTCCCCTCCCTCCCCGCTCTCCCATCACTCTTCACACTGTCACTCTTCACAAGAGTAGAAAGCCTCTTTTTCCCCCCACAGAAACCTCTACATCACCAGGGCTTCTGGTGGCTCTGTGTAAATCTTTGTAGGAGTGGACAGTCTCATCTTTCACTTGCAGAGCCGCTATTGGTTTGAACCACTGACCTTGTGGGTAGCGATCCAGCACGTACCTGACAGCACCTCCAGGTTTCCTTTCTATCATTCTAGTGGTTTCCAATGAGACTAGAGCAAAATTTGAATGCCTTGCTATGCCCTGTAGGTCCTGCGAAAATGGATCTGGCTTCTGCCCACCCCTCAGCCTCAGCGGTTGTCTCTCCCTCCCCACGTGGGCTTCAGCCACCCTGTCTGCTTTTCTTTCTTGCCTGACGCAGTCCATCTCATCAGCTCGCCATAAGGGCTCTTCTTTCAGCCAGATCACCCTTCCTCGCTGCTCAGCTCCCAGTCAAATCTCAGCCTAAGTGGCACATCCTTAGGGAAACCTTCCCTGAATTCTTAGCCTATGGGAGGTCTCCTCTTCATGTATGCCTTCAGAATACCTTTTGTGTTATACCTCATTATACCTCCATTCTGGTTCTTTACTCACCTGTCTTTTTAATTTTTGTGAATTAGCTGGAGGTTTACCTATCAGATCATTGTTTTTGCATTCACAACTTAAATAACTTATCAACCATCTTTAACACCCACCCACCTCCCTTGCCGGTCTGTGAAACCAGTGAGGGCAGAAACTATGTTTACCTTATTCATCACTCCCTTGACCAACATCAGGCATATATGTATAGTAGATCCTAGGTAAATAAATTGGGAATGAATGAATGAATGGTGTGCTCTGGCCGAATTGAATGTATTTGAATTTCTGATGGCCTGGTTGCTGGGCTTACTCACACTACTACTACCGACAGACTAGGACCAGGCAGAACTTTTACTCGAGGTATGAAGACCTGCTTTAACACTTCTTGAAATGATGCCGGGGACTTGGACCAACCGAGTGAGTCAGGCTTTGGATTTCTCAGCCAGATTTGCCAAATGATCCTCTTCATTAGATAACACCCTGCAGTAGACAGATCCCTGCAGGTAAACTGAACCCCTAAGCAGTGCTGCTGACAGTTTTCAGCTTCGTTTTGCTGTCCTGGTTTCGCCTGAGGACAGTAGCCTAGAGGTTGCACAGTGTGCATAGTGGACCTCTGAGTGATGGGGCCAGTTTCCCTTGGGCCTTCCTTCCAGCAGGGCCTTCGCTCAGAAATGCCTGGTCCATTGCATCACAATTGCTGAACCTTCTCTAGTCCTGGGCTACCACCCCGTGTACAGTGGGAGCCTCACGGCTTCTCAGTTGAGGATCCAGGTTAGAGTTTGCATTATTGTGGTTTTACTAGTGAGAGCGAACGGGAACTCAGCAAGGCCTGCTTGCTTCCTGGGTAGACGCTGTACACCGCTGGTCTTGAAAAGAGAAGTTCCGAAGCCTTTTGCTGCTGCTTCTTCTTCTTTTTTTTTTTCTTTTCTCTTAAAAATCTTTTCCTTTTCAACTAGGCTTTGTCTTAAAAAAAAAAAAAAAGCAAAAAAAAACCCAGATGTGCGTCATCTATCAAGGGATTCATAGTTTCTTTAACAAAGCGGTTTGCCTGGGAGCCAGCTCAGTGTCCACCTCTGACCAGCAGTGGAGCCCCCGGAGGAGGGGATGGTGAGGGTTCTGGTGTCATCTGCTTTGCATTGCAAACGCCAGGTCAATTTGGCACAGGGTGGCATAGCTTATTCTGTGAACAACTGTGTTGTGTCCAGCTCAGACCAAGTGGGCGAAAGAAGCCAGATGTGAAGGCGCATTTTCCCAAACAGAACGCCCTGGGAGATGGCCTTCCTTCCTGCCGTCATGTCGGCAACTCCAGAGAGCAGCTTCTGGACCCAGTCGGTAACTCTGGTCTGGAAGCTGGCCAGAGGCTAGGCCTGGTCAGCCAGGGGAGCTGCTTTCTTTGAGATGATCTCACCAGTGTCCTGTTCTGGCGGCTCCTCATCAGACTCCAGAAAAGGAAAAGTAGGTCACGGACCTCTCTGAGCCTCCGCCTTATTATCTCTGAGAATGATAATAGTGTCCATCTTGCACGGTTGTCATGAAGGTGACCTGATATGACAATATGGAAAGTGCTTAGGGTGGTGTCTGGGGAAGAAAGGCTGAGTGTAAAGATAGGTTGATTGAAAGGGGTTTGCCAGGAGGGTTGAGGCTCTTTGTGACTAAACCAGAACCCTTGGGGGTTTGCTTGAGCCTCTATGGGGTCGGAGTTCCTTGGGATTTATTCATGGAGTGGCTGAGCCGGAGGGGTCAGTCAAGTTCACTAAAGGCCTTCTGTGTGCCAGGCTCTATGTCCACCTGTATGACCCGATCAATACCAGGCTGGCTTCTAGCAGCAAGTGACCTTGAATCTCCCCCACCCATGCGGAGCTGACCAGAGCTGGCTATGTAACCTGTCAGCAGCTTTGCAAGTTTTTTTCTTTCTTTTACTCATGGCCTGTTTGGCTCAGTGCCCACTTTGTTCTTGGCCTGCCGTTCTGCACCTGGCACCGGCATGGTCCGTTTGACTCAGTGCCCACCTTGCTTTCGACCCTCCACGCTGCACCCGGCACGGTCCATTTGGCTCAGTGTCCACTTTGTTCTTGGCCCCCTGCTCTGCACCCAGCACCGGCAGAGCCCGTTTGGCTCAGTGCCTGCTTTGTTCTCGCCCACTGCTCTGCACCCTGCATGAATACACCCAGAACCAGGAAGACACCTTACATTCCAGAAACCCGGACATACCTGTCCATATATAAGCATCACCCCGAAGCCTGCAGTGCGACTCCCCAAGCCCGGACGTTGGGGACTGGGGACTTCGCCCAGGCTGGGTTTTTCTCCCTAATAAAGCCTGTTGGTTCTAATTTGACTGATTTGGTCTCTGGCACCTCTCGACTACCTTACACCACCCACACTCCCATAGGTGCTACTGAAGCAAACAGTACATTGACAAGAGAGTGGCTCTTGGGTTCCTCCATGTCTGCCCCTGAGGGCAGTTTCAGTGTTGCTCATGGTTCAACGTATGTAGTTCTTTACAACTGGAATTCATTGCTGAATTCTAATTCCATTTTCACCCAGCCCGATGAAGCCGACACTGTAGCCCTATTGAGAAGAGAGGAAACGGAGGCTCTGAAAGGTGAGGCAGCCGCCTGAGAGTCACGTAGCTAGTGAGTTTCTTCTGCTGAGGGCCTTGCCCATTCTTCCTCAGCCCTGCTCCCATGGGGCCTGCTCGTCCTCCAGGCCACACGGGGCAGGAAGGCCACTTTAGCATTCCTCCAAGCAATTGTTCTTTCCTCGCTGTGTAAAACCCTCTTTTATTTAAGAGTCACTTCTTCTGGTGATATTTTAAACTATATTCAGTAGACCTACCCCAAATACATGCCAGACTCTGCTAGCTGCAGGAAGCCAACAGTAGATAGATGAGACAT